TCCCATCACCAACCGCCTCCGAAACTTCGATCCCGCTTGGCCGCTTCATCCCTTCAACATCTTCTTCGAGATTCTCTTCACTACTTCTCTTCAATTTCTCCTCAGAGATTAGCAATCAGATTCGGGGCTGCGTTAGCAACGTCTTCGCCTTACAGCACAGTGTCGAGATTGCTTTTTCGGAAGTTGTTCGAGAAGGAATCGTCGACTTATACTTATCTCCTCACCGATCTCGGCCACCCTCAAAAGCTCGCTGTGGTAAAAAAAGTTTTTTCTAAATTTTTACGACAATTGTTAGCATCACTCATGCAAATGTGACACTTGAATTGTGCACTCCAATTATCCGCCTATCAGCGACTGTTTCCTATCAAAACCTCAATTGGGGGCCAAATTTCAATACTTTTTTGAGAGAATAATTTGTTTTAAATTTTTTGTTTTCTTGGGACCTAATCATTGAATATGAGCAATCGCGAGAAATTTTTCTTGTTTTTGAATTCTTGGGGTTTTGTCTTGTGTTAAGCTGTTTAGATTGAATTTTTATCCGTTGTAGACAGATTGATAATGTTTTTGTCATTGTGGGTTGTTAATGGCATTGTTCTAACTTGTATCTTTCATTAATTTTAAATGCATTAATAACTTAGCAATTGGTTTGTTGCAGCAAGCGTTCGAAATGTTAATAATAATAATAATAGTAATAATAATAATAGTAGTAGTAGTAGTCCACAAGATTCTCATGCATTTTCATACCTGCCCCAAATTTAGTCTATTTATATTTGCTAAATTTGATCTTCTTTTGCAGCTGCTTGATCCAGTAGACAAAACAGCAGACCGAGATTTAAGTCTTATAGAGACGGTCCGCTTCTCTCGCGGGCTCACCGCCTCCGAATCTTCGGTTCTATCTTTCTAACTAAAGCTATTTAATTTTCTTTATCATTTATTCATATTAATTTTATGCTTAGTTAGAGATATTGTAGATATACATTGAAAGATAGATTGAATGGTTTAGCAAGATAAATTGAATGGTTTAGCAATATTATCTATCGAAAATAATATGTTAGAAAATATTAAATATTAATTAGTAATTTTGCAGCTCAAAAGGTAAGAAGAATGAGATAAAATCTATTATGAGTTGTATCACTTAGGCCTCATCTAATATTTCGCATTGGGCCCCAAAATTCCTAGGTACGACCAAGGTTCGTGGGTTCTTCAAAATTTTATTGCATGTATGAATTGTTGCGCTAAATTCTGTTCAGGGTCCTAATAAAAAACCCCAAATTGAGTAGTTTCCAGTTAATGCAGATAATTTGAGCTGTGAGAATTGTACTAGCTGCTGTTTTTTGTTTTGGGCAATCTTAAAGTTATCTATGTTAGCCCTTTTTATGTCAGTGATTAATTATACTTGTAAGGTAAATTTCACAAAGCCCTCACGAGTGTGAAAGTTTTTACTTAATTCCTAAAAAGTTTGAAACTTTCACCTAACCCAAGAAGGAAAATCCATAAAAACCCCATCGTATATTAATTTTTTCACTTGTTCTTATGATGGCATTACATAAACAGGATGAATTTGGAGTTCTGGAGGAAGAAATTGCCAAAACCAAAATTTGGAGATTGGGAGCTTAGACCTGTGAGCGAACACAACCAAAGATGAGAAAGAAGTGGGAAAAGTAAATTTTAGGGCAAAAAATATAAAAAGAGGACCTGAATGTTTCTTTTTTCTTTTTCTTTTTTGTTGGTTGAAATGATTAAGGGTGTCTTGTCTTTTGACAACATCTGATTTGCACGTGATGCATCAGAACTAATGTCTCATTTGGTACACATGAATGAGTGGGAATGGAATGCTCTTTCCCACTTCTTATTCATGCGTACCAAACACAACACATTTTTAAAAGCTAGAATGCTCATTCCCACTTCTCATTCATTCCCGCTTTATGTGTGAGACTGAGCATTCCCAATGAGATGGTAGACAATGGGTGTTCCCACTTAAGTGAGAACAAAAAATTTGAAATAATGCATTAATTGCTTATTAATTGTCGATACCAAAAATAAAAATGATTTTCATCCTCACTTCATTCTCTAATCGCTCGCAAATGTAAGAATGAGAATGATACGTAAATTTTTCCTTGAAGAATGTCATCTGAACATAAATATGATTCATCATTGATATGTTGGTGGAGAAAGGAGAACAATTCTTAGGTGTTTTGCTATTTTTTTTGGCTGACCCCAAGACTTGGAACCTTCGTTTCTTTTTTTATTATTAATTTGGTATTGATTAGTGTTAAATGGTTGGTACGCTTGCTTGAGCTTACTCTTTCTTTTTTTATTATTAATTTGGTATTGATTAGTGTTAAATGGTTGGTACGCTTGCTTGAGCTTACTCATATATATTATCTAAAAAACAGAGCTTTCTCGTACACATTTTTGATTAAGTTATTCACAACACTAACATTTGAGATTTATGTCCAAAGTAGTAGCCTCAACCATTCTTTTATGCAACCCCCTTTTCAATTTGGGGTCTTTTATTTTGTATTCTTTTTGTTTAATGTCTAAAGATACAAATCTCCAGTTAGGATATAATCATGTTTTAAAATTTTGAAATGACAAGATTGTGACATCATGTTGGGAAGTGGAGTTGTTGGTATCCTATCTGAGTCTTGTAATGTATGGGAAAGGAGAGCTCCATTAACCCCTGCCCACCGTGCTCGCCTTCTCCTCAGTGGAAACGGAAATGGAGTTGATCGTAGTATAATAATTCAGCCAAGCACTAAACGTATCTATTATGATTCACAATATGAGGATGTTGGTTGTGAAATATCAGATGATCTATCTGAATGTGGTCTCATTTTAGGAGTCAAGCAACCAAAGGTAATAAGATATTGTCAAGTCCAATGCTATTTAAAATGTGTAAATTCATAGCTAATTCATTCATCACAGTTGTAGATGATTCTGCCAGATAGAGCATATGCATTCTTTTCCCACACCCACAAGGCTCAGAGTGAAAACATGCCTTTGTTAGATAAGGTAAATATGTTATGACATGTTGGATTATTGTTTCTATTTGATGGCCTCACGATGGGAATAATTATTTTGCTTATAGATTCTATCTGAAAGGGTGTCACTATATGATTATGAGCGTATTATTGGAGATGATGGCAGAATGTTGCTTGCATTTGGAAAATTCGCTGGTAGAGCAGGATTCATTGACTTCTTACATGGTATGGGAAAAAGTATGTGCCCTTAGATTTATTCTAAAGCATATGCTATGCTTTTCATAATTTCTAGTACTAATTCTAATTGATATCATACGTTACCATGAGTGATGTTTCATGTTTGTGACTATAATAAGCTTGCATTTAAAACTATGGAGATTTGAAAATTTAAGACTATTGCATGACATAGTTTTCTTCCTTGAAAATCTAATGCACAGCTTGGAGCTTTTGCTAAGTTCGCTCCATGCAAATAACTCTATTTTCGTAAAAGTTGGCAATACAAGCATGTATATACTGCTATTTCATCTGGAACCTGATGATGGAGAGCATATAATTACTTGACTATATGGTGTGCAGTCTGATTCCCTTTTCGATTTCAGGATACTTGCATCTTGGCTATTCTACACCTTTTCTGTCTCTTGGGACGTCTTATATGTATTCTTCTTTGGCTGCTGCCAAGGCTGTAATAATTGCTTTTGGGGCGTCTGAACCGGATGGCGGGCGGCCGGCGGTGGCGGGATTCATCAGACTGCACACCATATAGTCAAGTAATAATATGCTCTCCATCATCAGGTTCCAGATGAAATAGCAGTATATACATGCTTGTATTGCCAACTTTTACGAAAATAGAGTTATTTGCATGGAGCGAACTTAGCAAAAGCTCCAAGCTGTGCATTAGATTTTCAAGGAAGAAAACTATGTCATGCAATAGTCTTAAATTTTCAAATATTTATAGTTTTAAATGCAAGCTTATTATAGTCACAAACATGAAACATCACTCATGGTAACGTATGATATCAATTAGAATTAGTACTAGAAATTATGAAAAGCATAGCATATGCTTTAGAATAAATCTAAGGGCACATACTTTTTCCCATACCATGTAAGAAGTCAATGAATCCTGCTCTACCAGCGAATTTTCCAAATGCAAGCAACATTCTGCCATCATCTCCAATAATACGCTCATAATCATATAGTGACACCCTTTCAGATAGAATCTATAAGCAAAATAATTATTCCCATCGTGAGGCCATCAAATAGAAACAATAATCCAACATGTCATAACATATTTACCTTATCTAACAAAGGCATGTTTTCACTCTGAGCCTTGTGGGTGTGGGAAAAGAATGCATATGCTCTATCTGGCAGAATCATCTACAACTGTGATGAATGAATTAGCTATGAATTTACACATTTTAAATAGCATTGGACTTGACAATATCTTATTACCTTTGGTTGCTTGACTCCTAAAATGAGACCACATTCAGATAGATCATCTGATATTTCACAACCAACATCCTCATATTGTGAATCATAATAGATACGTTTAGTGCTTGGCTGAATTATTATACTACGATCAACTCCATTTCCGTTTCCACTGAGGAGAAGGCGAGCACGGTGGGCAGGGGTTAATGGAGCTCTCCTTTCCCATACATTACAAGACTCAGATAGGATACCAACAACTCCACTTCCCAACATGATGTCACAATCTTGTCATTTCAAAATTTTAAAACATGATTATATCCTAACAGGAGATTTGTATCTTTAGACATTAAACAAAAAGAATACAAAATAAAAGACCCCAAATTGAAAGGGGGGTTGTATAAAAGAATGGCTGAGGCTACTACTTTGGACATAAATCTCAAATGTTAGTGTTGTGAATAACTTAACCAAAAATGTATACGAGAAAGCTCTGTTTTTTAGATAATATATACGAGTAAGCTCAAGCAAGCGTACCAACCATTTAACACTAATCAATACCAAATTAATAATAAAAAAAGAAACGAAGGTTCCAAGTCTTGGGGTCAGCCAAAAAAATAGCAAAACACCTAAGAATTGTTCTCCTTTCTCCACCAACATATCAATGATGAATCATATTTATGTTCAGATCTTCAAGGAAAAATTTACGTATCATTCTCATTCTTACATTTGCGAACGATTAGAGAATGAACTGAGGATGAAAATCATTTTTATTTTTGGTATCGACAATTAATAAGCCGACAATTAATAAGCAATTAATACATTATTTAAAATTTTTTGTTCTCACTTAAGTGGGAATGCCCATTGTCTACCATCTCATTGGGAATGCTCAGTCTCACACATAAAGCGGGAATAAATGAGAAGTGGGAATGAGCATTCTAGCTTCTAAAAATGCGTTGTGTTTGGTACGCATGAATAAGAAGCGGGAATGAGCATTCTATTCCCACTCATTCATGTGTACCAAATGAGGCATTAGTTCTGATGCATCACGTGCAAATCAGGTGTTGTCAAAAGACAAACCACCCTTAATCTTTTCAACCAACAAAAAAGAAACATTCAGGTTCTCTTTTTATATTTTTCGCCCTAAAATTTTCTTTTCCCACTTCATTCTCATCTTTGGTTGTGTTCGCTCACAGGTCTGAGCTCCCAATCTCCAAAATTTGGTTTTGGCAATTTCTTTCTCCAGAACTCCACATTCATCATGTTTTATGTAATGCCATCACTGGGTCAAGTGAAAAAATTAATATACGATGGGGTTTTTATGGATTTTCCTTCTTGGGTTAAATGAAAGTTTCAAACTTTTTAGGAATTAAGTAAAAACTCTCACACTCGTGAGGGCTTTGTGAAATTTACCTTACAAGTAAGTATAATTAATCACTGACATAAAAATGGCTAAAATAGATAACTTTAAGATTACCCAAAACAGAAAACAACAGCTAGTAAAATTTTCACAGCTCAAATTATCTTCTTTAACTGGAAACTACTCAATTTGGGGGTTTTTATCAGGACCCCGAATTGAATTTAGCGCAACAATTCATACCCGCAACAAAATTTTGAAGAACCTAAAATTTCCTAGTTTAAGAATCTAAAATTTAATATATTACTAAATTAGCTAAATATCTCTTTCCAAAGTTTTGTCAATGGCAAAATTTTGCAGCCAATTACAACAGGGTTCCAATTGACAATGATTCTAATATGGGACAAATTTTCAAAACCAACCTATTTACAAATTTAATCGCAGAAAACAACCCATTTCAAATTTAATTGCAAAAACCAACCTGGTTTCAGCCTTGGCGCTGAAACCAGGTCGGTTTTTGTGAAAAAACTTTCGAAACTTCACGGGAGTTGAACTCCCGTGAAGTTTCCCAGTAAAAAAAAAAGAACTACGAAACTTCACGGGAGTTCAACTCCCGTGAAGTTTCGGATAAAAATTTTCAAAAACTGACCTGGTTTCAGCCCAGGTCGGTTTTTGCAATTAAATTTGAAATGGGTTGTTTTCTGCGATTAAATTTGTAAATAGGTTGGTTTTGAAAATTTGTCCTTCTAATATGCCTCCAGGGTCTTTCATAAGGGTACTGCTCGAATGGTCAGATAAAAATCTGGAACTGTATGACTTTAGTTTCCTTGGGGATCTGCCAGAAGTTTTCAGACCATTTGGTTCAATGGTGAAGAAAACGCGGCAGGAGGCTATCACTTTGTTCTCATGCTTGGATGCATTTCTGAAAGAGGAACCTTTAGGGCCCGATGATATGTGGTTAGTGAACTCTTTGCCTTGTGTGTAGCAGATGTTAAAGTTCATCTCATATTTTAATGGGTTAATTACGGATAGAACCCCTGTTCTATCATCGAAGTGCAACTAGGCCTCCTGAAGTTCAATTGTTTCAGATAGACCCTAAATGAATTTTTTTTACTTTTTTACCTTGGAGAGAATTTTTTTTTGACAAATAGACCTGAGGGTGGAAGAGTAATTAAAAAAAATCACGCGGGGAGGTCTATCTCAATTTGGTGATACTAAAGTGAGTCTATCCGTGACAATACAATTCCAGGGGTTTATCAGCCGCTGGGTGATAGTATTGGGCACCAGTCAGCAATTAACCCTATTTTATTATTAAAAAACATATCCTTATAAATGATGTGTATTGATGCCTTTTGATTGATGTTCTTTTAGGTGTTGTCCTGGCCGCAAGGAGCACGTACAGACAAGCCACTAAAAAAACTAGACTTGTGGAGATTGCCCGAGATCTTAGTTGTTCACTTGAAGCGGTTTTCTTATAGCAGATGCATGAAAAACAAGCTTGACACCTTTGTGAACTTTCCTGTTCACGGTCTTGATTTAAGCCAGTATGTAAAGCACAATTCTGATGCTGCAAGGCAAACACACGTGTATGAGCTTTATGCTGTAAGCAACCACTACGGAGGATTGGGTGGGGGCCACTACTCTGCATATGCAAAGGTAATGCTATATGATATGGATTACACTGGTAGGCAATTAGTTATTAGACATCAACATGATATGTGCAATAAGATTTGGAATATATCCTCTATAGACCACTGGTAGGCAATTAGTTATTAGACATCAGCGTGATATGTGCAATAAGATTTGGAATATATGATAAGTGCCCCTCTTTTTCCTCTCTATACTATATGATATGGATTAGTATAGACTATAGAGGTTCTTCTATTCCCTTGTTTTGGGGGGCAAGTTAGTCAGCCCCTAATATTTAACCCATCAAGTTTTATAGGTATTATTTTCAGCGTCTTTAAGTCCCCATAGTAGTACTCCGCCCGCTCTAATCATAGCTAAAAACATTATTCTGTTGAAGGTAAAGTTGGAATATTTCTGCAAGGAAACCACCATGGAGACCAAAAAGACTCGAAATAATAACTATTAAGGGTTTAATGGGTTATAATACGGGGTTAAGGTCTTCTTACAAAATTCAAGTAAATACTGGGCCTGATCTGACTTTGAGCTCTGTTGTTGGGGTTCATAGATGAGCGAATATTGTCCTAACCATGGAGACCAAATAGGCTCGAAATAATAACTATAAGGTGTCGTTTGACAAAGGGTTAAGAGGGTAGTGTTAAGGAGAATGGTTAACTTAGTTAAACTGTCATAAGGGGTTAAAAATAGTTCAATCCTGTTTGGATTAGATAGTTATGATAAAGAGTTAACTTATTTGTATTTGGCAAATGAAGAAGGGTTAAGGAGGTTAATCCCTCTAATTTTTTCTAAAATACCAGATTTAATCTTATTGATATTTGACACATTCATTAGCAACTATTCAATTAAGACCAATTCAACTCGAATTTGCATGCAATTGAGCTATCAAATTGTTATCTTAATTTTTTTATTTAAATAAATCATGTGGAGAAGGCTAAAAAAATCAATTTAAATTAAGAAATTTTAAATTAGCATTTCAACTTGAACTATGTTAAAGGGCAACGTTCCAACAAAACTTTATAATGCCTTTCATTAATATCAAGAGAAAATTTATTATTCAAGAACAAAAGTAACCATTTGCTCAAAATACTATATTCTGCTAAAATATAAATTGTTAATAGAAACCCTAATTCATTAAGAGATCTCTTGGGCTTTATATAGGTCCCTACACAACTTACAAATAAGTCCCTAACTAATACTAATATGTCAACACTCCTCCTCAAGATGGGCGAAAGATATCTACTAAGCCCATCTTGTCACATCCTCTAATCATATCTACTGAGCTAAGTCCTTTAGTCAGACAATCTGCTGCCTGGTCCTTAGTCGAAACATGACTTAGCTCTAGTAGTCCACTATCCAACTTCTCTTTGATGAACTGCTGCCTGGTCCTTAGTCGAAACATGACTTAGCTCTAGTAGTCCACTATCCAACTTCTCTTTGATGAAAAACCTGTCGATCTCGATGTGTTTGGTTCTATCATGCTGCACCGGGTTGTTGGCAATATTGATGGCTGACTTGTTGTCACACCACAACTTTATCTTAGTTCCTTGATCCAGCTTCAGCTCCACCAGCATACTCTTTAACCATAGCAACTCAGCAACTCCTAAGGCCATAGCTCTATACTCTGCCTCAGCTGTCGATCTAGCCACCACCGACTGCTTCTTGCTCTTCCACTAGACTAAGTTGCCTCCTATAAAGATGCAGTATCCTGAGGTGGACCTCATGTCATCAGCACAGCTAGCCCAATCAGAGTCACAATAGCCCTCAATGCTCATGTGTTCATTCTTCCTGAAGATTAGCCCTTTTCCGGGGGCATTCTTCAAATACCTTAGAATCTGGTACACTGCGTACATATGACCCTTCCTTGGATCATGCATGTAGCGACTCACCACGCTCACTACAAAAGAGATATCGGGACGTGTGTGACACATATAGATCAACCTGCCCACCAGCCTTTGGTATCTGTCATGATCAACTGGTTCTCCAGCTTCAGCACCCAGTTTAAACTTCTGGTCGATCGGTGTAGTTGCAGGTTTGCATCCTAACATTCCTGTTTCTTTGAGAAGATCCAGTGCATATTTTCTCTGGGATAGGACGATCCCCTCCGCTCCTCGAGCTATCTCTATTCCAAGAAAGTATCGAAGCAAGCCAAGATCTTTCACCTCGAATTCCTTACCCAGTCTCACTTTGAGTTGGGCAATCTCCTTCTCATCATCCCCTGTAATAATCATATCATCCACATATACTGCAAGCAAGGTGATGCGACCTCCACTTCTTCGAAAGAACACGGTATGGTCGGCGCTGATCTGCTGGTACTCCATACCAATCATAGCCCTCCTGAATCTATCAAACCAAGCACGAGGAGACTGTTTTAGCCCATAGAGAGACTTCTTCAATCTGCAGACCTTTCCCACTGTCTTATCTGTACCGAATCCTGGTGGTATCTCCATGTATACCTTCTCCACTAGATCTCCATGAAGAAATGCATTCTTCACATCTAGTTGGTGTAGCTTCCATCCGCCATTTATTGCTAGAGAGATTAAGATCCGAACAGTGCTCATCTTTGCCACCGGTGCAAAGGTCTCGTCATAATCGATGCCATATGTCTGACTATACCCTTTTGCCACCAGACGAGCCTTGTAGCGCTCAACTTATCCATCTGGATTCTGCTTCACAGTGAAGACCCACTTGCATCCAACTGCTCTCTTCCCTTCTGGTAGTTTTACTAGCTCCTAAGTGCGGTTCTTCTCTAGAGCTCCTAGCTCCTCGTGCATAGCCGCTTTCCACTTTGGGTCCTTCTTAGCAACCTGCCAATTGTTAGGTACAGTAACAGAGTCCAATGATGCAATGAATGCCCCATGTGCAGGGTGTATGTTAGAATATGATACAAATTGGGCAATATCCCAACCATATCTATCGGGAGGATTTCCCGCATTACTACGAGTAGTCCTCCGTACTGATATTGGTGTGAGAGGAGTAGGGAGAGGAATGTTATCAGTAGGAATGTTATCACCTTGGGATGAAACTGGTGGTGGTGGTGTTTCAGGAGTCGGGGTAGGCGTTGGCAAGAGACTTGGCAGCACTAGTGGCACTGTAGGTACTGTTCCTGTAATTTGCTTGCCCTTCCTACTATAAGTTAGTAGCTCCCCTTGAACAGTGGGCCTAACACCTCTTGTCTCATTTTCCTTTTCTTCGTCATTCTCCTGCTCCTCCACAACCAATTCTTCTTCCCAAGGAATCGATACAGAAATGAATTTCTCCACATTGTTCACCGTTCTCTCACCATTCTCCTCCTCTCGCCTCATACTTCTAGTATTGGGCGAGTTACCAGCGGTTGAAGTTACCTTTTGGGTGTAATATGGCTCGAGTTCTCAAAAGTGCACATCCATGCTCACAAACAATCTTTTCTCCACCGGGCTCCAGCAAACATATCCCTTCTGAGTAGCAGAATATCCCACAAAGATGCACTTCACAGCTCTAGGGGCAAGCTTCCTTGTCTGGTGATGTATTCCTTGAGCTGACAAATATTCTTCAAAGGCTCTGTTGGTATATTCTGTCCCATTATCTGACCTCAATACTTTCACCACTGCTCCGTATTGAGTCTGAACAGTCCTATGAAAATTTTGGAAGCACCCAAACACATCACTCTTATTCTTCATCAGGTATAACCAAGTAACACGAGAGAAGCAATCAATAAATGTAACAAAATACTTGTATCCATTCATAGAACTTGTGGAACAAGGCCCCCAAACGTCTGAATGTACCAAGTCAAATGCATGAGAACTTCTATGACCAGAACTAACATAAGAGCTTCTAGTAAGCTTTCCAAACTCACATGCATCACACACAAGTTTCTGTTTATTTGCTTTCTCAAATAAAGAAGGATACACTCTACCTAAAACACTAAAGGATGAGTGTCCCAAACGCTGGTGATGAAGCATTAACTCATTTTCAGCACTCATTTTATATCCTACTCCTGCTTCCTCTATGATTGACACCAATGCTGAATCCATCCATTCACGATCCAGATACCACAATCCACTACGCCATGTGCCAGTTCCAAGTCTCCGCCCTGTCCCCTTCTCCTGGAAAATCACCTTGGGAATATCAAAAGAAATAATGCATTTTAGTTGGAGGATGATAGAACTAATAGACAAAAGATTGACTAGAAAGGAAGGAGCATGCAAAACATTAGACAAAGTTACAGAACCAGTACAATCTACAGTACCCTTATCAACCACCGGCTAAAATGTACCATCAGCTGTTTGAATACTATCAGGCGATGCTAAGTGAGTATATGATGAGAACTCACTAGCATTACCTGTCACATGACGAGACGCACCGGAGTCGACTATCCACTCTGATGATCTGTCGGGAGACATAGAAGCAAGAGCATGTATGTCATCAGTACCTTTGGTCGGATGAGCATAGGTAGCAGTGTTGCCTCTGGCGAAGAACGAAGTGGATGCCTCCGCAGTCCCACTCCTCAAATCTCCATCCCCTGCTATTTGTTGTTTTTTTCCTAAGTATTGTGAGAAGAGCACGATCCTCCTCTGTAAAGACCACCTCAGCTTCTTCTTCTGCTACCGTCAGATTCGCCCGATTTCCTACTCCTCTTCCACCTCGTCGACCCCCACGGCCACGACCACGACCTCCGAACTGTCCCCGTCCACCCGAATCTCCTTCCTTGGATGGCTTGGTGCAAGCATGCCTTAGATGACCCACCGCACCGCAGTTGTAGCACTGTCGAGTCTCTCCCCTAGATCCAGTACTGCTAGAGGCTGTCAGTGCTGACTTCACCACAGGAAGTCCACATGTCCCCGCCTGCAGCCGAATGCGAGTCTCCTCCTGGATCATAGCAGAGACAGCCTCCTCAAGCGTGAGAATTTTTGGCTGAGCTAGCAGCAATGTGATTCGCTGAGCGAACTCTGATGTCAATCCCTTGAGAAACACCATAGTCCTCTCCTGTAGAAAGGCCTCCCGCTCTTTACACCCCGGGTCCTTGCAGCTAGCCCGAGGGGAAAAATAATCATAATCCAGCCACAGATGCTCCAATTCTGTAGCATATTCCTGTACAGTCCTCTCTCCCTGGACTGTGGCATCGATCTCTCCTTTAATCTGGAATACCCTCAGGTTATTCCCCACTCCATCATATGTCCTCCTCAACTTCTCCCAGACGTCCTTCACCTTCTCAATGTCATCCACCGTGGCGGCGATCGTCGGGACCAACGAATTGAGAAGCCAGATGTACACCAACATATGAGTGGACTTCCACTCATCTCTTCCCTCCGAGTCCTCCTCCGGTTCTGTCGCCTCTCCTGTCAAGTAACCCTCCAGGTTCCTCCCTGCAAGGGTGTATCTCAC